TCACCCGAACAACAAGACCCACACCCCCACAAACACACACACAAACACACACTCCCTAGCTGCTTCACAGTTGAGTAGTAAATAATCATGGTGATTGAGAAACAGGAAGTGTGCACAGGGTAATGACCTATGTGGTCTGTGGAGAGGTACCATGTGCTCTCCACAGACACAACTTTACATCTATGACTTTACATCTATGATGTAAAGTTGTAGGTGGATTCCTCAGTCATTTCCTGGTACAAACAAGCAGAGTCATTCTCTGAAGCTTTTTGTGGAAATACAAGCTGTTGTGTTGATGTTTGGTGTAGTTCATGATTTTCATAGACAAAATGCTCCAGCTCCTTCAGTTTCTCAAACATGATAAATCTATCACACAGGGCATATGCACACCTGCTTTCTTCCTTGTTTGTTTTGTTGTTCGTCATTGTTGATCACTCTTGACACATTCATCTGTAACAGCTTCTGTGTAACAAAAATCAGTTTTTTGGCCCTGTCAGCAGTTTCCAACTTGCCCGCTCAGAAAGAAAGAAAGAAAATGTTTATCATTACTCAGCCGTGTTCATCCTACACAGTCTTGGGTTAACCTCAAAAGACTGCAAAGTTTGAAAGGGTTGCCCATGAAATTCAAATTATTACCACCTGTGTCCAACTAAAAACATTTCTAAAACTCCTTTTCTTCAGTCCCAAGCTAACCCCTCAGAGAAACTTCATCTCCAGGGACCTCTCTGTCCATTTGTCCAGTCATGGATTTCTCCTTTTAGGCTAATTATTGTTTGAACATCGGTGCAGAAGGGTGGCTTGAAAAAACACTTTTTTTGATTCTGAGGGATGGACAGCCAATCTTGATGTTTACCAGTGGCATTAAATGTAATGATGATGTTAGGCTCCCACAGCTCTTGAGGACCCACAAAAACAGCAGTGTGACTTTTAAATTCCTAGCTATGTTCCTGACATTGACATTTTCAACACCATCTCCTAGAAATTATGTTTACACACATACCTTTTTTGGCACTTTTTATGTGGATGTTCAAAAAGTGTGTACTATAGTTACTGTGTTTGCAACACAGTTCTTCCTACCACCTAATCACAGGCAGGACTGGATGTGAACCTGTCACAATGCCTGCCTATCTGATCTGTTTAGTTCAGTTCTCCGCCAGTTTTGTTATTTAGTCAGTTCTGTATCTGTTATTCAATCTGTTTGGTGTTTCTTGTTTCAGTCCATTTATTGGTTTAGAGTTTTTGTTCCATCGTCTTGTGTTTCCGCTGTTCTGCCTTGTTTTTGTCTTCTTGCATGTTCAGCCCCGTTCAGTTGTTTACAGTTATGTTTCATTCAACCAGATCTGTCATAGTTCTTGTTTGATTTGTTATATTTATTACTCTGATCTGTTCTGTCCTATTTTGCCGTTATCTTTGTCTGCCTTATTTCTTGTTGAATTCTGTTTTTATCTGATGTTTATCTGTATCATTGTGCTTGGTTTCTGTCTGTCTGCTAGGTCTATCTATGTTCTCTGCTGTTTTCAGTTTTGGCTGTGTCCGGTCATTGTATCTTGTCACGCTCTGGCTTGTCATGTCATGCCTATTTTTCCAGGTGCTCTACTGAGGTTCTGCAATTGACATTAGCACCTGCCATTCTGGCAAACAGAACATGCCCTTCATGGTCCTTGCCCTTAATTATGCCAAGAGATAGACATCAGAGATATCAAATATCAAAGTCTTATCTGCCCATTGATGAAACCTGTTGTGCACGCTCTAACATGTGAATAGGGGGAGTACTGGTACTCTTTGTTTTTCACTGAAAGCACCATGGTGGGAGAGATACAGTACTACAGGAAGGACCATTGTTGTGGTTAGTTCAGATTTCACAAGACTTATATACTACTTATATCTTTTATAAAATGCCATTGAAACCAACGTGGGAGCATGAAATAAGGAAACATACCAAAAAACATTACAGCAATGACATTTGTCCCACAAGTTCACATTGGCTCAACCCCTGACCTTTAATCTTTAATTTAAAGACATTTTAAAACAGGACAGGGCTGATGTTTGTTTTGCTATTAAACTATTTATTATATTATTATATTTATTATTCCAAAAATAAACAAATGCTTATCAAATTTTGATTCAGCAAACCTCAAAGTGAATCATATACTTGATTCACACTGTGGTGTGGAAAGAAAAACAGGAGTTACAGGAGTTATTATGTGGTGAAATTTTGTTTCTTATTTTGTTGGTCAACCAAAATTCCCTTAATTTGATTTGTGCATGTCTGCAGTCATGTAATCAGAGGATTCCTGTTTCCAAGAAGGCCTTTTAATAACCCCTCAGAGAAACTGTGATAGACTGGCATGTATACTGTATTTCAGCTCTAGGAAGTTATCTGTTAATTTCTTTCTTCATGGATTTCTCCTTTAGGCTAATCATTGTTCAAACATCGGTGCAGAAGAGTGGCTTGAAAAATCTTTCACGTAAATCACATCAATCTTCTTTTTTTTTACATTGCGTATATGGAAATGAAAGCATACTGTATAAGTCAATTCTAAATGTATGCTTAATACTCATTCAGTGTGTTTATATTTACATCGAAGTCAGAAAAATAGATAGTGACATTAGATATCAAATACTTCCATGACTCTCAAATGAGCATGAATTATAGAGAAGTTGAGGACATTGGTTTTCACTGACAAGTTCTTTTCTTAATTTTCCCCAGTGGAAAATCTTTTAAAATGCCATTGAAACCACCATGGGAGCATGAAAGAAGGAAACATTTAAGTAAAGTTTTACTCCATTTTAGTGAAGTATGATTAAGCTGTTACTTGATACAAGTTTGCTCATCTTGAAATAACCTAAATCCATATTAAAACTAAAACCAAACACTACTAACCAACACTTTTTCATGCTTTCTGTAAGCCTCAGGATTTGACGCCCTGGGATGAGAACAGGCTCCAACAAGAGAATGTAAGGCCAGGTTCGGACAGCCTTCTCATTAAATTCAATGGGACTGCATTGGCACAGACTCAGGGTGACAAAAATAATGCGGCAAGCACACATTCCTGGTAGATTGGTGCAGATCTTCCTCATTTTGCGTGTTTCAAGACTCTAATTCCTAAAAAAATTTTAACTTGTTTATTTTAGAAGATGTTAAAATTATTTTGTGCAAATGATAGAATCTTCCACCCAATTTAAGAAGAATATTATACTTTTAGGACAAGTCAAAATGACTCAATATGACATTTATTTTATCTTATTACATTTTACATTTTCTAAAGCTGTCTCTGCCTAAGTGACTGGTTCACTCTGCATCATGTGGCACAAAATCACATTATTCGGTAGCTCTTTGAGGAAGTTAGCTGACTGCAGCTCTTAAATGCCAGAGGGATCAAGAAGTAACACTTGGGAGTCATTTAATGTCAGTGCAGGCTGACAGATTGTTTTTCTGTAGCTGCATTCAGGAAGGAACCCCAGTCATATCAGATGCTAATGACACTGACTTAAAATGTGATATGTGTTAGTTATTTGGTATTACAAATGTCACATGTCAGCAGGAAAGATTGTTTGACCTTAGATAGAGAGAAAAACATGCCTCCCACACCTTTGATTCATTGTGGATAATCCATTAGTTATGGTATAATAACACACCTCATGACATGCACTGCACATCACGGTGCCTTTCAATAAAAATACAAATATTTTGCTCAATATTTCTCTTTTTCAGTTTACCAGCTCAATTTTGATGCAAAAATACACCATAAAATGGCTTGCTTTAAGCAGCTGAACAAATTGTACAATCTTCCTCAACATGTTTGCATTATATACAGATGTAAAAAGCAATATTAGACTTATTTGAAACTCTGATTGACATCCCAAAAAGTTACCTAATTCCAAGCATTAGATATCTATTTCAGCCAAGAAAAGGTATGTTTATTTGTGTCATACAAAAAGGATACTCTACGTACTTTACATAACACATTTAAAACGTTAAACAGAAAATACATTAAAACACATATTAAAAACAAAAGCAATAGAAAATATACAAGTAAATACAAGTGCAAGGAAGACCCTGAGAGGCAGCGGTTAACATAAGGTTGTTGTTTTGTTTTTTTTACATATGGTAAAAGACAGTCAGTCAGAGTATTGTGTTTTGGTACTAAATCATTGAGTGATTTATAGATTAACAGCAGTAATTTAACCTATGTGCAACAGAACACTGGAAACCAGTGCAGAAACCTGAGCACGGGTGTGATCTGTTCACTTTGTCTTTGTTTAGAATTTAGAGCAGCATGCCAAATGAGCTGAAGTTGTGCTGAGTCTCAAGACAATTATTTCTGTTTTCTCGGTGTTTGACTGAAGGAATTTCTGGCACACCCAATCACCGATTTGTTCAGAGGACATGCAGAAAGAATTGGATGTCATCTGCATATTATCACAAGGGATTTAATATTTTGTTTAAGCATTTTAATGCTAAATCAAGAGTATCCAGGCTGCTCATTTTGCAGAAAAGTCCAAGGTTTTAGGTAGCCTGTAGCCAAAATGACCTGATGTTAGAGTTAGTGACTCTTTTGAGCAAGTCCATCAACAAACAGATGGAAACACAATACCAAATAGACTATGTGCATTTTTGGCACTATTGGTGATGTTAGAGAAAAAGAATTACATTTTTCTTCCCATTTACTGTCTGTAATACTGATGGAAGATACACTGAAGGATATTTGTTGTGTTCAGTTTATTAATTGTTCCATCAGCTATTCCATCTGTTTCTTCATTATTTTCCAAATAACACGTTGCGGTAAAAAGACTAAGTATGTCCTACTTTCATAGAATGATTTCTCGAATAGAATTTTTATTTTTTTCATGACTAGGAATAATGTCCATCAAACAAAACTTCCTCTGATCTGTATCTGGATTTTTGCCTTGTCTTGGTATGCTAGGTTGTTTCTACGTAATTTCTTATTATTATTATTAATAGAGAAACTGTTAAAAAAAACCCCGATTACAACCGATTTCATTTGTGATCATTTTTATTTAAGCGTCATTCAAAAGCAGCCACACATATTCCAGCTTCACTTGCATAAAATTGTATTCATCTACCAACAAAAATAGAACCCTCTCACTCTAACAAAACTTGCCTCGTTCATATAAATAGCAATAAATTAAGATCTCAGCTCACATGAAAATGAAACCACTGAAATTAGCAGGGCCAGTGCCATGTCGGTGTTTAACTGTAGACATAGGAGGAGGTAGATGTACTCTAGGCCAACACTTTTTCTTCTTTGAAGAGTAATACCAGTGTTTTTATTTTTAAGTTTTAAGTTTTAAGCATCAATTGTGTAGGTTCTCTCTGTTTTAACTCCCACAAATAAAATAACTGTATTTTGTGTTTTGGATACCCAGGTGCAACATACAGTAGTATCTTATAAAGGTAATTGTAGATGTCAGTAATGTACTTGGGAGAACTAAAATCTGGTGAAAGGACATTTTTCTTCTAAATATTACATCTGCATTATATTAAATTACATTATTCCTGTCAATCACCTGACATGAAATGAAGTTTTCTCTAAAACATGTTGCTTTGCATAGTTTATTTAAATAACATTTAACGTTTCTAAAATTTGGTTACACAGGAGAGCAGGCCATTTCACGTTAGGTGACAAACAAATTTGGATTGTTTGGTCTATTTTAAGAAGAAAAAACAAGAAAAACTGAAAAGCACTGAAAAATGAGGGAATGTTCATTATCTAGATGCAGATGGGATGTAATTAACTTTTCCTCTAACTGGTATTCTCCTTTAACTAATGCTAAGTACTAAAACCTGGTGAAAATAACAGTGTATCTTGAATAGTGCAGTCATTTTTGAACTACTGGACCTATCAAACTCTTTGAAATGTAGAAGAAGGTATTTTCTACTTCAGCCTCCTCTGACATTTAAAGTACATTCACCTCATTCCCCAAAGAACACAGCTCATTCAGACGAGAGTTGATTCTCCGCAGCTTGTTCTGTAGTTTATCACCAGCGCTGATTGCTCCTGTTTGGGTCAGAATCTCCGGAAGCTGCTGAATCTGCTTCCCTGTGGCAGAAGTTACCCAAGTATTGATCCTTACATTAAGTTGCGAGTAGTTAAGTCCTGAAGTTCCTCCCTGTTTTTTTTTGTCCTCAGATGGAAGCCTGTGCAAGATCTGACGCAGCCGCCTAAGCGACATTTTCTGGTGAACGAAGAAAGTCGGAAGGATTTCTTTGAGATAGTCACCGCCGTCTGCAAGAAATAAAGATGATAATCAATCAGCAACTAATGAGAAAACATAAAAAAGCATTGGCCTGATTTTTGTCATCCTGATAGTCCATACTGTGATTACTGTGTTATATGTTGCTCTATTCTGTACACTTGACATATTGCATGTCTGTCCGTCCTGGGAGACGGATCCCTTTTCTGTTAATCTTCCTGGGGTGTCTTCCATTTTTCCCCCATTAAAAGCAACACATTTTCACTCCCAACATGTCACATATACACTCACCTAAAGGATTATTAGGAACACCATACTAATACTGTGTTTGACCCCCTTTCGCCTTCAGAACTGCCTTAATTCTACGTGGCATTGATTCAACAAGGTGCTGAAAGCATTCTTTAGAAATGTTGGCCCATATTGATGGATAGCATCTTGCAGTTGATGGAGATTTGTGGGATGCACATCCAGGGCACGAAGCTCCTGTTCCACCACTGACAAATCAAAGTCACTGTTTTGAAAACCAAATTTCAGTCCACCCAGCAGTGCACCTAAGTGTTTTCTTAGGATATTAAGAGAATTTAACTAATCATTGGCAAACTGATGAATGTGCAGCTTTGGAAAGCAGGTAACGATGATTTGTGTAGTTTTTTTTGTAAATAAGTTAAACATTAACAAGCAAAACCACTGGTATAGCCAACATCATGACATGCTTCTTCCTCCTTTCCTGTATGAACTTTATAAACCGGTGATCTTACCTCTGGATCTGAGCTCTTCGTTGCTCGTGCACACACTGTCGTGCCAGATGGAGCCCTTCAGCACCAGCTCCAGTCCTGCATCTTTGCAGTGTGTGTGCTCTGTGCAGTTCTGGTGAGCAGAGACAGTGTCGGAGTAGGACCCGTTGGGACAAGTGTGGCACACAGTGTCCTCATCAGCTGTACCTGGAGAAGACATGTGCATTTGTTTTAGATAAAGGACAAGAACCACATATGTTGTCCTGATTAGTATCAAATACCACCTCTAACTGAAAATATGTGTCCAGTATTAATCATGCTTTGATTGTCAGTACAACAACAAAACCCTACAGAGTATTTCTTTCCATTCACCAAATGAAATGCACTTTGAAATACATGTGTGAGAAATTTACATACTAATCAAATTGACCAGTGCACCAAAACAACAGCAACATAGTGCAAAGTACACTTCTCTTCTCTACTCTCTACTCCTCCGAATTCGAGAGAATAGACCCAAAGTTAAATTTCACTGTTTCTTTATTATTAAAGACTGATAACATGGTAATGGGCACATTAGCCCGCTCACTAAGGATTTGTTCCACACTTTACAGTTAAACTAAAGTCTATAAAAACAACATCAGCCCTGATCCATTGTTTGGTTTTCTCGGCTGCCCTGGTTTATGACGGGGTAATTTGATGCTCCAGTGCACTTGTGCTCATTTTCAGGTTCATAATCGTAAACAGGTTTACATGGTTTAATTTTCAAAAAAACACCATATTTTTTGTCATACTGCACATTACTGCAGCTCCTCTTTTCACCCTGTGTGTTGAACGCTTCGTTTTAGCTATGGAGTGATACATCTTGTCTCTAAATGATCTTTGTTGAGAGTTGCACATGCGCAGTTCCTAGTTAAGGACTACCAGCCAATCAGAAGCAGAGAAGGGCGTGTGAGTGAGAAGCCACAGCTTCTTTTCAGCTGTAGGTTGCACCTTGCCACCGTTAAATGTCACTGCAGGCTGACAAGATTGTATTTCTGTAGCTGCACAGTCACATGAGATACTGATGATACTGACTTAAAATGTGATATGTATTACTTATTTAGTATTAAATATGTCACATGTCAGCAGGAAAGATTGTTTGGAGTTTCTTTGACCTCAGATAGAGAGAAAAACATGCCTCACACACCTTCGATTCATTGTGGATAATCCATTACTTAAACTTTGAACTCCCTGAAATTTGGAGTAGTAGCAGAAAAAAGATAAATTATCCTCTACTTTCTTAGAAAAAAACTGTTACCATTGATTACACTGGTAACAGCAGACACAAAAGATGCCAGCCTGTTCCTCTCACGACACAATTTACCTTTTTTAAATATATATAATATATAAATATATAATAATTGGCTAAATAAATTGCGATCTCAGCTTACATACTGAGAGATTGTACTAAATGAAAGCACTGGAATTAACAGGACAGGTCCGTGTCATGTCGGTATTTAATTGCAGACATAGGAAGGTAGACATATTGCGGGATAACACTTAAATATACAGTAGAGACATGACAGTTGCTGGTGCTCATTACGGAGTGTCATTCCACAGATTGTTGTGGTTGTGTAATTTGTAAACACTGTTTCTGTCCTCAGGGTGGACTCAGAGCTTGGTAAAAATTCGTTCTCCTTTCATGCATCCTGGGCATTGAATGAGTTGCATACCATTTCCTAGTAGTAGCTAGTTTAGAAATACTATTGCAAGCAGCAATGAAGGTTTTCTTGGTATGGAGGTCATTTCTGTAGGGCATCGTGGGTATTTGGAGTCTGTCGTTGCTGACTCCTACCTGGGACATTTGCTTGAATGGAAATGTAGAAATGTGTTGTGACATGTCTGAATTGCATTTGATGTTTAACAGCATCACCCATGGAGATATCAATACCATTTTTTTCCCCGGGTTACAGTCATGATATAGGCTATTTATGCGTCTCTGGGTTACTGCCTCTAATGTGTAGCTACATAAAGAACACGTTTCAGAAAGTTACTGCAAGCCCATGTTTTGCTTTTGGACCGAATAGCCTGAATAATAAGGGCACTCCCTAACAACCATGCTACCTGATCCCTGACAGTATTATATAATTTCTGATCTCCATTACATAACAAGTACTATGTACTATTTCTGAACCTTTTCTGATGGAGACTTTCAGCCATCCCACCCGAACTGGACTCTTTAACCCCGGAGCAGCAGCCTACCTTGAGTCAACACCCCTTGTCCGGTTGGACACTCGCTGTGGAGCAAGCACATGTCGTAATTCTTCTTGTAGTAATATCCCTTTTGACACTCGCACTGGCAGTCTCTCTCCGCGCTGCACGCCGTCTTCTCCACCTGGTTCAGGCCGCACGCCCCGCAGCGCAGGCACTTGCCGATGTAGTTCCACAGCTCCGTGAACGACCCCTGCGGACACGGCGCGCACTCGCTTTTGTGCGTAGACGTGCAGCGTGCCTTCATAAAGGTTCCAGGGGGGCACTTATCACAGACCACGGTCATGCCGGTGGTCCGGTCCGTGTCTCTGAAAGTCCGGAGCTGAGAGCCGTCAACCAGAACGGCGCTCACTGACAGCAGCAACACTGGGAAGAGCGATAGTAACATCTGGAAGGAAGGAGTAAACAGCAAAGGAAATTAAAGGGAATACGATGCTAAATGTGGAGCCACGCGGAATATTGAGAACTGATTGAGAAGGAGAAATGCAGCGAAATTAAACAAGTACAGGAACATATAAAGAAGAAGGGAACACAATCACAAGCGGACTGGTGTCACATGTGGAGCAGGTTAGTCTGAACGCAGCTCTTGAAAATATCTTCTTTCCATAAATATTCAGTTAAAATCACGTTTCTAATTCTCTAAAATAACTGGCCCTATTCAATATGCTACTAAATAATAATAATAAAATGAAACAGGCTAGGCTACACATTTGAATTATCAGTAACTATGCAGTCAGGCCATGCCTCTAAGAAGTCTGCAGTGAGGAGTTTCGGCACGTCTGTGCTCCAGCTGTAGCTGCTCCCGCCCCACCTACCATCGTAAATGTGTTGTGTCTGCTGTTGCAGGCTGCAGCGGTCTGTCAGGAGGATGTGCTCTCACTACCTCGCTTGCTCTATTTATGTGTGATGTATAGGCTAACTATGACGCCACTCAAATCAGATCAATCAGATTTTCTTTGGAATTCGCTGCTCATGTAATTGGTATTTAGGAAGAGTCATCGCTCTTAATTGTTTTTTTTTTTTTTTTTTTTTTTTACCTAAAGCACTTTGTGCAGGTTAACAGTTTATAAATTAATCTTATTTACTCAGACGCGCACGATTCTCCTTCTACAAACCTCTGAAGTTGTGTACGATGTTATTATAGGGTTTTGTGTCCCTTATTCGCCCAAATAAGGATTTACTTACTTCATCCATCTGGCTAAAGAGGAATTCCGTTAAATGTGTGAGATGGCAGGAGTTTCATGTTAGGATCCTGTCCAAAATGTGTTGCTATTTTCAGAATAATAAAAATAATACTATAGTAGTAACAATAATATAAATACACAATGTAAATTATAGAAAATTAAAATAAATTAAATTCTTATCAAGGGGATGGAGAGACATCTGATCCTTAGCATTTTGGCTGTTTAAAGTTGATGTGGAGTGACTTTAAATAAATATTACATTTCATCTGTTTTACAAAGTGTTTTGACTTGCACTGTATAATATAATATGTCTCTTATCTTTACCTGTTGAGAACTACTGAGAAGAAGAGTCAGACTTCTTGAATGCATGTGGTGTGTAAATCATGTTACTGTCACTAGAGGGGGAGAAATTACAATGATACTCAGCCTTTTCATTCATAAATTTCAGATTCAGGTATTTTGAGGTTAGGTTATTTCCGACTTTCCTTTTTGAATTTTGAGCAATGACCTCAGCAAAGTCAATCATCATCATTAGTGTAAAAAAACCATAAATGAAATGATAAATGATAGCTAAAAATCCTAAATATTGTCTGATTTTATTACACATTTTGAATTCTAATGGTTTTTAAAATGAAATTACAATGTATTTTCTGTCTCATATACTGATATTGTATGCATTATCTCTATAATGTTTTAATGTCAAGTGTTATGTTTAGCTCTAGGCATTAGAAACAGGAGATTTGGACCCAGGCGCAGAATAATATGCAGAATAGATGCAGTACACAAAGTTTATATACTGATACTACTAAAATGATGGTGAGGCAGGTGGTCCTAAACAAAGCAATAAAAATCCAGAACAGTTTTGGCAAAATCCAGATACATGCTTCAAAAGGTAGATAATCCAAAAGACACCTGCGAACACAAGGGTCAGCGCTGAATCCTAGACAACTGAGTTGTACTAAATGGCAAACAACTGAGACAAAGACTTAAATGCACAAGAAGGGTGGCGATGAAGAGACACAGGTAAAACGCATTAGACAATCAGGGAGCACAAAGACAGGAAGCAAAGTTCAAACAAAACACAAGAAGCAGAACAACTTCAAAATAAAGCAGGAAGCTCAGGAAACACAAACATCGACACCCCAAAACTACGACAGTCCCGAGGAGCAGGAATCGCCTGGGCCGCCAACACAGTGCGCATTAACAGCAGTTCCACCAGGGGAGTGATACCAACGTCTGGAAGGAAGGAGGAAAGAGGAGAGAAAATCCAATGGGAGATGATGTTAATGCAGAGCCACATGGCATATTGAGAAATACAAGGAAATGCAGCGAAGCTAAACAAGGAAATACGGGGAAATATAAAGTGAACATGAAGGGAACACAATAACACGTGTACTGGTGTCACATGTGGAGCGATCTTCTCTTGAAAATTGGACTTAGCCTTAGTCGAACCCAAAATTTCCACCAGTTTCTAGTTAAAAATCACATTGCTGTTAAGAAACCATTATGTAAATAATAATAAAAAGAAATCGGCTATACTGCACATTTTAATTATCATAAACTGAGAGATGCAGTGAGGGCATGTCTCTCTGAGTCACAGACAGGTTAGCAGTGATAAGTTTAGGCACGTCTGCGCTCCAGCTACACTCCCACACCTACCATGTAAATGTGCTGAAGTGGTCAGTCTGGAGGATGTACTCTCATTGCATCCTCAGCTTTATTTAGGATGGAACTGCAACATTCCTCAGCTTCCCCATTTCTTGGGAATGCCGTGCTCCATCATTGCTAGTTCCAAAGAGTCATCCCACTTGATTGTGCCAGATATAAACTTTACTTGCACTTTGTGGAGGATTACAGTTTATAAATTCATCTTCTTTACACGTCGGATGTGCAGCATCCTTTGTCTACAAATGTCTCGTGGTAAGGTTGTATAAGATTTTATAGGGATTTGTATTTTTTTTAATGGATCAACTGTCTACAAATTAAACTTCATCCATATAAGTTTTTAGCACAATGGGTCTGTGTATAATGTGTCCATTTTTGTATCTGTTTCTGCACACAGATAACACACACCTGCATTTTAACAAAGTCTTTAGTTGTTCGGAAGCAGCCAGCAGCTTTAAAGCAGCACTGACTTATCCTGTTCACCTCCATTGGTCTACAGAGTTATTATTAATGGCCAATGACCACGTGCTGAGGTCTGTTATTGTTTGTTTACTAAAACTGTCTGGGGACATCTTGTGGACAAAAGACTGCAGTGTTTTTTTGTTTGTTTTTTTGTGGCCCCAAGCCAGATATTTAGGGCCCAAGTATGAAACATGCGAGGACCCTATTGAAATTGTAAGGATTATTATTCTTTCTCCCAAATAAATCACACTTTTGATGGCCTAAAGGTGCTCAGAAACTCACGAAACTTTGCACACACGTCAAGCGTGGCGAAAAATTACGTATTTTAAGGGTCTCGCACATAGGCGTGGCAAAATGGCTCTATAGCGCCACCTGTAAAGTTGGAAAAAATCAGCCCCCGCGCCTACTTTAACCTACATGCCAGAAATATTCTGGGGACATCTATCATATCAAGACTCACAAAAGCCTCAAGAACCCATTCCCTAAACTCAACAGGACGTCAGCCATTTTGAATTGAAAGTGCGATTTTAACCTCTTTTTCACCGTTTACAGGGTGCGTAACGAACTCCTCCTAAGAATTTAGTCCGATCGACTTCAAATTTCTGCTGTGCCTTCTAAAGGCATTGACAATGAAAAGTTTTGCTATCTGTGAGTTTTCGTCAATGGGCGTGTCCGTGGCGTGGCGTCCAAAATCAGTGATTCGCCATGAAACAGGAAGTTGTTATAACTTCAGTGTGCATGCTCAGATCTGCACCAAACATTACATATAGGATAAGAGTCCCGCCCTGAACACATCCGCATGCCAATAAACACACAATGTCATAGCGCCACCTGCTGGCAACAGGAAGTGTCAAGTTTTACTACTGCCAACATATTAGCCTCACCTGCTTCAAAACACAAGAAGAAGTTTTTTACAGATCTGTGAACAATATGAGAGAAAAAGGCCTTTTGTGTACAAAGAGAAAGTCTTAGATCTTTGAGTTTGGCTCATGATGAATGGTGCAAAAACAAAAGTGTTGCATTTTATAATTTTGTTCAGTGTATATATGGTGATCTTTTGAAAATGTTAAATGTTGAATTTTCCTCTATTAACTATCTTATAAATAAGTAAATGTAAATATTTTAAGACCGTTACAGCATATATTTTATGGTGCTGAGTATTATATAATAAAGAAGTATATGGCGTGTGAAACTTGAATGACAGAATTTGACTTATTTGATATGCCAGTACAATTTTTATTCAACAGGGAACATTGCTTTGTTTGACAGTAGTGATGTTACTATATCAAATGATTCGATCCTTTTCAACTGCTCTTTGGTATGAACCTTGTGTCAGGTCAGGCAATACAAGTAATTTAGTGCTGCTAAACATAGTCCAAAAATGCTAAAGACATGTTATCAGTCGGCCATAGATTAGTTCAAAGTTTTGTATTTGTTTTAGAACAACATGGTATAACTTTATATAGTTTTGTAGTTTCTGGAATAGCTTTAGCGATCAGCAGTTAAAAACTGGAACAATCAGAACACTTTGGGGAGTGTTGAAGTAACTCATCCCCCAAAAAACCTTCAATTCACAATGAAATTAAACAGAAAAAGCAGCAAAATCAATTATCAGAATAGTTGTGATTAATTTGTTGTTGCTGTTGATTGACTGATTGATGAACAACCCTTTGAGGTAGTGTTATTTATGTAAGTGAAATGTTTTTCTCCTCAGATTAATTCTGAATGTTGGAACGTGAATTTTTAACACATTCCCAAAACAACTATTATGATTTTCCAATTTCAAAAAATTTATAGCAAACTTTATAGTTGACTTTGGTGATTCTCCCACTCTTCCTCACCACTTTTGTTCTGACTGTTGTTTAAAACAGTTGCAGAGTGCACTGCTGCAGTAAGAATACATTCAAAACAGCGATTTAAACATGTCTGAGAGGAATAGATCTCTGGTCTAAGCAAATATTACCCCTCACCGGAGGTTTTCTTTGGCAGCCTATGAAATAGCATTTTTTATGTCTTGTAATCTCGAGTTCTTGCCATGGTAACTGCTGGGGTGGGGTCCAAATAAGCAGAACAATACACCCATACAATGTTTGCGTAAATGAAAGCCTTTTGCAACACTGAGAAATGTGGCACCATTTCTTTCATATCAAAGTGTTTATTCATGCCCTCCTCTCCTCTTCCTGTGGCTGTCAGTAGCCATATAACGGCATTCTTTTCTCTCACTTTTGTTTTTTTAAGACATTGCTTACATGTATTTAGGAGAATAGTTAGTTTTCCCTAAAAAAGAAATACAAATGTGATTGGTTTGTCCTTCCTGACTCTGCTGTAATCTTCCAGGTGAATCATTGGGCATATTCCAGTTAAAGTAATAGTTTCACTGAGCAGTCTGGAGGAAAAAGCACTTGGTGCTTTGAGTGTTTAAAAATGTTTACCTCTCTCAAATGATTAAAATAAATATTTTCTATGCCCTCCCATTACCACGCAAACCTTTACCTTGACTTGAGCAAACAAATCCTCCCTAAATGTCCTGACAACCACTTTAATTTCACAGAGGAAAATGTGTGTGCACAGTGGGTATCAAACATGGAGCAATCA